AGCTGTGGCAAAGAGAGAGGTGGCCATGGAGACAGGGAAGATCAGTAATTAAGCTAATGTGCTGTTTGTAAGATTGGAAAGCTGCAGTCAGCTGAGACTGGAGAAGGCACCCGATGATGATGAAACCTTTCTCCCACTGAAAACATCCAGATGAACAGAATCAACTATTGGTGAACCCTGTAGTGTGACTGTTTGAGTACATTGTAGCAAAGATGCAGAAGGAGATGGTGAAAGCAGCAAACTGTACACTGAGTAACCAGCATGCCATCCTCTCTGTGGTCAACTGATCATTGTATTGGACTCTGCTTCACGTTGATTCGTCATGTTACTCATTAACATTGCAATTGTTCAAAATCTAACAGATGGTATCACTGAATGTATAAACGGGATTGAATATTATACAGTGTGGTGAGTATGACACCATCTGTAATGTGTTGCTTTTTGTAAATGTGTGGACACCTGTGACTGATTTGGACCCACACAGTGATCGGGTGACGTTTCCTTTCTGTGTACTTCATTTGCACACGCTGAGTTTTTGTTCCAGCTTTCCAGCTGACTCCACCCTCTCCACTCTGGCCCCCGGCCTCAATAAATAGAGGAGAGACTTCATTAGACTGATTACTTCCACCTGCCGGCACTGCCCCATGAGCCACACCTACCCTTCAGCAGAACTGAAGACCACACCCCTGCCACGCCCCCCACCGCCCGACGGAGGCCGGGGCGGCTTCTGGCCGCTGTGTGGCACCTCCACTGTACAACCATATAACCTTATAGTCAGCGTCCCCCCATTTGCCGTGTGACCACGAAGGGTCCTTGCCACTTGGCGAGTAATTTCAAGCTAGAAGAAGAGAGTAACACAGGCACTTTGTCTCCAGGTGAACAATTCCCAGGAGGTCCAGGATGTACTGAATCTGGTTTATAGCCAGGCTTGGAACTTCCTCCCAGTTTTCTTTAATTAAGCCCCCCCACGGCTTCCTGCCCAACAGTAACTGAGAAAATCCTGTGGAGGCCTGGGGCACCTCCCGCACTGCAAACAACAGAGGGTTGCATTTATCCTCGTCAATGAACTTACGAATCATGGACTTTAAAGCCTTGTTCAGCTGCTTCACCAAGCGGTCAGTCTGCGGGTGGTAGACGCTGGGCCGAGCACATTTAATCATTCACACGGGTCTCTTAGTGCGCGAGACATGAACGACCTGCCGTGGTCAGTCAGTATCTCTTTCTGGGATGCCGATGATGACCTGAAACACGGCTTCAGGGTGCACCAAGTGACCATCAGTTTTTATCATTTGGTTGAAGGCTGAGTGTAGGGTTGTAGGGTGTCATCATGAAACATGAGATACAACCCGGACAGCCCAGCATCACCGCTGAGTGCCACGCAGGCACTACACGCTACCAAAGGTCCACTCTGTCTCCAATAAGACTTGTCTAGAGTAGCTACTGGTCTCTTGGACTCTCCTCCACGCTCTTGAGACTGTGCTGGGTCATAGGTTTGTAGCATAAACCTAGTCGCTGGAACGTTAAGGACAATTTAATTACACAGCAAAGCAAGACACGAGTAGGCAAAGTTCTTTATGTTTCCCGTGCACGGGAGAGAACCGGACAAGCGCCGTTCCTTCGCTTGACCCCAGTCGCTCTCGTCTGCTCCCCCGTAACACTGCTCTTTTATTGAGGTTACATGAATATACAGTGGGGCAAAAAAGTATTTAGTCAGCCACCGATTGTGCAAGTTCCCCCACCTAAAATGATGACAGAGGTCAGTAATTTGCACCAGAGGTACACTTCAACTGTGAGAGACAGAATGTGAAAACAAAATCCATGAATCCACATGGTAGGATTTGTAAAGAATTTATTCGTAAACCAGGGTGGAAAATAAGTATTTGGTCACCTCAAACAAGGAAAATCTCTGGCTCTCACAGACCTGTAACGTCTTCTGTAAGAAGCTTTTCTGTCCCCCACTCATTACCTGTATGAATGGCACCTGTTTGAACTCATCATCTGTATAAAAGACACCTGTCCACAGCCTCAAACAGTCAGACTCCAAACTCCGCCATGGCCAAGACCAAAGAGCTTTCGAAGGACACCAGGAAAAGTATTGTAGACCTGCACCAGACTGGGAAGAGTGAATCTACAATAGGCAAGCAGCTTGGTGTGAAAAAATCAACTGTGGGAGCAATCATCAGAAAATGGAAGACATACAAGACCACTGATAATCTCCCTCGATCTGGGGCTCCACGCAAGATCTCATCCCGTGGGGTCAAAATGATCATGAGAACGGTGAGCAAAGATCCCAGAACCACACGGGGGGACCTGGTGAATGACCTGCAGAGAGCTGGGACCAAAGTAACAAAGGTCACCATCAGTAACACACTACAACGGCAGGGAATCAAATCCCGCAGTGCCAGACGTGTTCCGCTGCTGAAGCCAGTGCATGTCCAGGCCCGTCTGAAGTTTGCCAGAGAGCACATGGATGATACAGCAGAGGATTGGGAGAATGTCATGTGGTCAGATGAAACCAAAGTAGAACTTTTTGGTATAAACTCAACTCGTCGTGTTTGGAGGAAGAAGAATACTGAGTTGCATCCCAAGAACACCATACCTACTGTGAAGCATGGGGGTGGAAACATCATGCTATGGGCTGTTTTTCTGCCAAGGGGACAGGACGACTGATCCGTGTTAAGGACAGAATGAATTGAGCCAAAACCTCCTTCCATCAGTGAGAACTTTGAAGATGAAACGAGGCTGGGTCTTCCAACATGACAATGATCCAAAACACACCGCCCGGGCAACAAAGGAGTGGCTCCGTAAGAAGCATTTGAAAGTCCTGGAGTGGCCTAGCCAGTCTCCAGACCTCAACCCCATAGAAAATCTGTGGCGGGAGTTGAAAGTCCGTGTTGCTCGGCGACAGCCCCAAAACATCACTGCTCTCGAGAAGATCTGCATGGAGGAATGGGCCAAAATACCAGCTACTGTGTGTGCAAACCTGGTAAAGACCTATAGTAAACGTTTGACCTCTGTTATTGCCAACAAAGGTTATGTTACAAAGTATTGAGTTGTATTTTTGTTATTGACCAAATACTTATTTTCCACCCTGATTTACGAATAAATTCTTTACAAATCCTACCATGTGGATTCATGGATTTTTCACATTCTGTCTCTCACAGTTGAAGTGTAGCTCTGGTGCAAATTACTGACCTCTGTCATCATTTTAGGTGGGGGAACTTGCACAATCGGTGGCTGACTAAATACTTTTTTGCCCCACTGTACATAGGTTCATTAACATACGACTTCTAAATACACACAAAGAGTACCTTGCCTGTGCGTTGTGTAAGTGTGTGTGTGTGTGTGGGGGGTCAGAGTGTGACCCCATAAAGACTTCCCTAACCCTGCTGGTTTGGAAGTCCAACAGTTCATCTAAACAAAAGGCACTTAGACTAAAACAGACATAGACACGTTTATCCTGCCATAAAACAATAAGAGCAGGTACGCCCTCTCCCGTGCTCCCAGGGTGTGGGTGTGAATGCCAGAGCACTCTGGAATGCACACCAAGCCTTTGCAGACTGCTAAAGATCACACATCCTATCACTACACAATCGATTATACACCTCTAAGCATACATGGTTACCGTATTTCCCGGACTACAGAGCGCACCTGAATATTAGCCGCACAAGCTAGAATCAGGGGAAATCCTGTTTTGTACATACATTAGCCGCACCTGACTAAAAGCCGCAGGTGTTTCAATGTTGACTTATCATATGTAAGAGAATATGCACAAAGCAAATTGTCAGGAAAGAGATGGCTGTTTGGAAACATCACTTTTATTAATATTTTGAAAAACAAGTTATGGGTACATATTTGCATAACTTTTTAGGTATATGTACAAGTAGCGGTAATTACAGGTATGAAACATGTACTGTGCTTCATAAACGAGTAACAAATGTAGTACATAACAGTAACCTACAGCACACCAGAAAAATAGATCCGGCCTACCTTTCAGGCTCAGGTGCAGCGACACGGCTTTAACAAGAAGAAAAGTCAGTCATTCACCATCTTTCTCTTCTTCCTGCCACTGAAACCACCAAAGTCCTCTTCTCCAGTGTCGGATACAAACAGGCTCAGGATGGCTTCGTCATCCACTCTCAGCTTCTTTCCTTCGTTGTCACTTTCAAAACCAAACAAATCCTCGTTGTCAGTGTCAGTGTCGAACACCCTCAGAAGGGCCGTGGCGGTGTCCTCCTCTCCATCATGCAGCAGTCCAGCCCTTCGAAATCCGTTGGTGATCGTGGATGTTTTCGCACTTTTCCACGCTGTCAGAATCCACCGGTGGAGTTGAGCATAACTTGCTTTTCGCAAGTTTATCGCTGCTCGTCATCCACGACTCCCGCTGAACGCGTAGTGCTACTTTGAAGTTTGTTTTTCGCGCTACTTGTACGGCACTATGTTGCCTGGCGGATGGACATGTGACCAACATACCACTCTTGAACCCCGATACTGTGTGTCTGATCACATGCCCTTCCGCCAGGCAACGTAGTGCCGTACAACAGCGGAACAAACAAAACAAATCGTCTTACCATATGACAAAAATCACGGACAATCCATAGAAAAGAAGCACCTGACTAAAAGCCGCAGGGTTCAAAGCTTGTGCAAAAAGTAGCGGCTTATAGCCCGACAATTACGGTAAATATTTCTAAGCATAAATGACAATCAACAATATAAATGTAACACTGGGAGACAAACCTTCCTGCAACGACAGGTATTGATGTGCCATCCTGCAGCTGTTGGACTGCCTGAGCATCCTCTGCAGGGTCCAGGTATCACCTCATGCTATCAGCACTCACACTGATTCTAGCCAAATTCAGAACTAGTGAAAATGAGTCAGAAAAGATGAGAAGGTGGCGTGCACCTGTGAAACTGGTATTATTTTAACCTTTCTTTGTGCCTAGATTAAACCCTGAGATGGACTCTGGTCTAACTACAACAGTATGTGGTTTTGGGTTTAGGTGGAGTCCACCCAGAGCATGATCAGGATTCTGGGACTGTCTGCTACCCTGCCTAACTATCTGGATGTGGCCACCTTCCTACATGTCAACCCATATATTGGTCTCTTCTTCTTCGACGGTCGCTTCAGACCAGTGCCTCTGGGACAGACCTTTGTTGGCATCAAAACCAACAACAAGGTATGAACATTTAAGATGGATGTACAGAAAAATAGGACTGGTAATGTTTAGAAGTGCTAAGAGCTGTGATTGTATCCTGTTCACTGTGCTTCCTGTTCAGATCCAGCAGATCCATGACATGGAGGAGGTTTGTTATGACAAAGTTCTGGAACAGGTGAAGGCAGGTCACCAGGTAAGGGCTTTTCTTTGTGTTTGACCCAGGTGTGTGGGCTTTGGTGGGGACACAGGATTCATCGAGCCTGTGTTATACTGTGTGTAACCCACGGACTGAGCTCCGCCTGAGGCATCCAGTCTGAACGTGTATTTGTAGCATCTCTCAGCTCTTCAGTGCCCGCACTCTGTTGAAGAGTCATTTTTTCTGCATGCCTGTACTTCCTGATTGCTTTAGCCCTAAAGCCCAGCAGCATGCATGCTTCCTAACACCACCCGTGTGGAGTGATGTTGGTGTAGCGCCACAATCTTTTCCTCCCAAATATTTCCCTGAACTTTTTCATGAATAGCAACCGTGCTGCAGTAAATATTTTGTGTGAACCTTTTGGAATGAACACCTGTTATCTAAATTCTCTCAAGTCCTTATCTCCCCCGGTTTTACCTCCCCCTCCTTCCCCATCCACCCACCCCCTCCACTCATTCTGCTTCCACTCTGCAGCCTGTTGGGAACAGGAGAGCTGTGAATTCAGACTTTACCGTTTAGCTTCCATCTGCTGCAGGAGTTGAGCAGCCTATTGAGGACTGTTGTTATCCTGTCTGCATCTTTTTTCCAAGCAGCCCACATACACGCTCCGGTTTTCCGAGCTTCCCCCTCTTTGTCCGATTGCTTCCCTCAGAGGCAAAGCTGATATGAACTTTTCTGTAGTCTCTGACACCATGTAAGCCGGTTTGATTGTCCAAAACATGAAACGTGCTGCACACATGTGTTTGTGGTTGGACGGTTTCACTGCTACAGTCTAGAGCTTACTGCTCAGCCAGCGATCCTTCTTCTTCTCTCAGTAATGAATTGTCAGGAAGTGGCTGTGACATATATTAATTGACGTGATTTTCTTTAAGACCCCCCCAGGCTCGCCGAGTGTCTCACTGCTCTGTTCGAGCTGAACTCAGCGTGGCTGTAACGGTGCAGCGAGATTACTAAAGCGTCTCTGTGTCACTGGGCTGTGTTAATATTCTGGTGTGTTGAAGCCGTGTGTTTGTGCCCAGGTGATGGTGTTTGTCCATGCTCGTAATGCCACAGTGAGGACGGCCATGGGGCTCATCGAGATGGCGAAGAACCGTGGAGAGATTTGTTTCTTTCAACCAGACCAAGGGTCAGACTACGGCCAGTGTGAGAAACAGGTAACAAGTGTCCACACATCGTTTCATGTGATCGTGTTCAGCGAGAACCTTCAGATACATCTAGGAAATGTTGAATGCATGTGGCTGATTAAAGACAGCACAGCGCTGTCAGGGTGTGTGATGAGGTATTTTTAGATTCAGCATTTTCACAGCCTGGAGGATCAAGTGGGGCAAACCTGCAGAGCAGCACATCACACGTTATGGAGGAATGTTTTGCAGACTAATTGGAGAAGAAAAGTGACGTTCCTCATTTTATTCCAAGACAAATACTTCATGAGAACAAACAGGAAAAGGCAGCAACACTGCCAGGAATGATTAAAGAGCTGCAGGTTTCACTGGTAGATTGATTAGTGATTAGTGCGCTGCTCGCACACGAGCCCAGAGCCTAATGCAGTAATCGGGTGTGTCCGGTTCCCTAACACTGAGACAACTAGCTCTCTAACAAACTTGGTTACAGACTTTAGGGCAGTTAGAGACTTTGAACCTGCAGACAGGAAACCACATCGTGTGTGTTAGATGAATATAATGCAAACAGTTTGCAACAGAGACCAGGGGGCTCCACACGCCCGGCTGTGGGACGCCGTCTGGCAACCATGAGGTAATATAGAGAAGCACGGGTTTCATTTTCCCCCAACACTGTTTAGCTTTGACACCATAATGCGTGCGAGCGCAGGCGTGAGGGTGGAACACCGATGGCGTGCGTGCGTGTAATTAATGGTCTTTGTGCTGTGAGGGTACACAGAGGTGGAGCTATATTTTCCCTCCGAGGACGGTCAGTCAGATGCCAAGTCCCATATTTAAATCTCCTGCCTGGGAAGGCAGAGTGATAAATTTAGTAACCTTTTCCTCTGTTCCCCGGGGCTCAGCCAAGATTGATGTGTCTCTAATCTTCTTTCTATTTAAATGGGTTATGTATACAAATCAGATCACTTTTCATGCTTTCTAAAACTGGAAATAGCGACGAGAGATTACGTCGGGGGACTGAAGCGATGCGCTGTGGCCTGGTTAGTCTTTGAAGCAGTACTTAAAAAGCAATTGTGTAACTGTTCCTTTAGTTTCTGTGCACGCAGGAAGTTTTATGTGCACCAGCTGAAAATGGTTTTGCCTGTGTCCCAACATAATGAGTATTATCCGTTCCATTAGTTCATCTTTGAGTGTTTGTCAGTCAGACTTGCTCTGGTGAAGGAAGGGGCACGGGGCTGACTCGACTCTAAGCCCACACAGAGATAATGCACTGCTTATTTGCACACTGCAAATTGCCCCACATTAATATTTATAGGTGTTTTTTTTTTAATCTCCAATATGCATATGTGGTGAATAAAGCCCCTATAAGGTCAGACGTATAATCAGCGTTTATTTATCCAGCTTTAAAAGTCGCTCCGTTTTCCCGTCTCCCGTCTGTATTATTTAATTGGCTTTATCTGGGGTTTGGAGAGGCTGTCAGTCAAGCTCGATATCTGAATGTGCCACTACAGTCTAATCTAGTTACACAGGACGTGTGGTGTGCTCTCGAATGAAAAGAGTCTTTTTAAAGAACTACTTTAGATCCATGCTGTTGGATCGAGTGTGTGTATTCTTGGCTTTACAGTTCTATGTTCTGAAACACGAGGTGTGCCATCGTCTCACTAAAATAAAGAAGAGCTTCCCTGAAGAGACGTCGTTTACTCTCCTCAGAAAGGATCATTTACTCGTGTCTCCTGTTCGAGCTTCAGCGAGTCAGCTGTTCGATCCACACTGATGCTGGGAGTGAACAGGGCCGGATCTACAGGCGTTGCCTTTTATTAAAAACACATATGCAGGTGTTACATGTGGTTCAAATGATTCAATGCAGTCAGTATACACACGTTTCTATAACGGGATTATTTTCCATAATGAAACATCTAAGTTAGGTAACACACGCACATGTGTGGAGCCCAATAAGTATCAAATGCAGAAAGCTGCACAGCATGGGCGGTTACTTACAAACACAGGGATAACTGAAGTTTCACTTTGTTAGAAAACATCAAGTTGTTGCTGAAATTTACACAAAATGTCAGAAATCTTTAACAGAAATGTAAACCTCCTTTTTCAGGATGTGTTGGGTTCACCCTCTGGGGAGCTCGACCGCACATCGTTGCTCCTTTTTTGTATGTTGTTTGGTCTCATTTCATCAGCTCAGTGTGAATCTACACTGATTGTTTCATCGTCATGCTGCAGTAACACAACTGATCTGAAATCACACAAAAACATCAAATCCTGGTAGTAGTTTAGCCCACAGACATGTTGAGTGAATTGTTTTAATAACTTGGATTGCAAACATAAACTGTAAAATTTGAAAACACGTATGAACAATAAATTCATAAAACAACTATTTATCTAAAAATGCAGCCAGCACATCTGGCATCTTTAACATTTTCTACAACCACTTAAAACTATTACAATAACTAAAGTGAGAGAACAATCAGGCGTCACAATGAGATGCACCACAAATTATTTGTGCCAGTAAACAAAAGTTTGTTTCTGTGTTTACTGTTGTCACACTGTCCTTTTTAAACCCGTCCTTCTGCACTAAACGTGACGTATTTAGAAAAAACATATATTTTTAATCATAGCTCTGGATTTAATGGCCTGTCAATAAAATTTAAGAACTTGTATATCCTCTGAAGTCCCAACTTTCAGCACTCATGAATCCGAGACTCCGTGTGGCTGCAGCTTGTTGCTGTGTTAGCTTAAATCAGTGTGATTTGGAGGTGCGGCGTGTCCGTGGACCCCAGAGGGTTAATCACTCTCACCTTCAGTCCATTTACAGAGCGTAACAACCACCTGTGTCAAATCTGAAATGCCCTTGGTGTTGATTCAAATGTGCTCTGGCACAATCAGAAGCATGTAATATATTCAGTGTTATGTAGCCAGGCTCAAAGTGTTAATGCTGTCTTATTTTAATAAACAACACTGTCATATGCAAAGCTAGGGTGGCACATGCCACCCCATGCCCCCCTCTAGATCCGCCCCTGGTAGTGAACCTAATTAGTTTTCAGACGTTGCTTTTTTGCATACACTTCATGTGTTACAAATATTTGGAGCCAGCTGTTACTTTGTTCCTGATATTGTCCTGATATAGAGGCAAATTAAAACAAAGCACAAACTCTGTTTCCACTTGCTGGCTAATGTGCGTTTTGACTTTTGCTGCCATGATGCCAGGTCAGATTTTTTACCTGGATAAATGACGGACTAATAAAATGTAACCAATATCTACAGTTTATTCTGTCTGTATGTTTTCATAATTCTGGTGAGTTTCTGGATAGGGCTCCATGTTTATGATAACAACATGAGATATGCTGGGATAACGTGCTTTACTGCAGAAACATGACATATTTCTGACTTATAGACACAAAGTCTCCTGATACAGCTGAATCTCAAACATGGGTAAAGGTGCATTTATTAATGATGTTGTGCTGTAGCAGAGTGTGAGTGAGGATGATGAGGGAATATGTCACCCTGCAGTTTACTGAGGAGTTTGGAGAATATCATCTACAGATGGGTTTATTAGGCTCATCGACTCTCAGTTCTCTTCTTCAGTAATAATATACAGTGTTGTAGACAGTACTATGCTGTGCAGGAAGTGTTGCTGCCACGTTGTCAGTTTTGAAATCCATCACTTGATAAATTGAAGTATATGAATCACAGATTAGAAGAAACATGTTTGAATAGACAATAAATGAGTTTGCAGCATAAGCTGTGCAGGAAACCTGAAGCTCCCACCTGAGAGAAGTCAAAGCCTCTCTGACTTTCATTTGCTCGACTTTGACAGTCCGCACTCTCTCCCCTGCCCCCCCCTCTGCGCCCCCACCATGTTGTACGAATCCAGCTGTGAGACATGAAACCATGTGGCTGCTTTCAAAGGGAAGCAGAGTTGTTATGGAGGATAAGAGCCACCTAGTGGCCCCGTGAGTCCATTACACTTATTCTACAGACCCGTCGTGTTTTCTGACACAGCGGGGGCGTAACACCCCTTTCACACTGTGGCCAACAGTGGCCAGCTCGGCATGCCGGAGCAGTGTTTGTCAAAGCATACATTCACATGAACTGAGGGACCAGATCACTGCTAGAGAACAGCGAACGAGTGTATCGGCTTCTCTTTGAAGCTCGCTCTTCTCCGGCCTTCAGATGTGCTGCTTCCCTGTCACTTTGTTTGACAACATACACAGATGCAGACACACTCACGCCTCTGAGTGCGAAGCCTCCAGGGACTCTACAGCAACACCCGACTGTGCTCATTAATGTCTCCGTTTTCTTTCATTTGGTGCTATTTTTACAAGTCGAGTCCACTGCTGCTGCTTTCGTAGTGACAGATCTGTGACAGCCTGTCACTGTGCCCAACCAGTTACCCACTGCAGTGATCAACAACAAAGAGCCGCACCTGAAACGCTGCTGGAAGCAGGAGTGACACCGTGGACTGACAGCACGGAAACAGCAGCCTTAAAAACAAAGGCAGCTTTGTCCAGCAGTGCTTCTGCAAACGCCTCCTCTGTTTGCAGCTCATCTGCAGTCTCATAGCCTGAGGGAGCAGCCTTGCATGCTATCATGGCACTGCATAGCAAGTCCGTTTTCCTGTTTAATTGCTTCTTCATCAGCATTTAAACAGCTGACTGGAGTGTTCGCTGTTTTGCTGTGCCACCTCCAATGTTCAGGAACAAAGGACCAGGATCATATTTGTCTTCAAGCAACAATTATTTTTCAGCAGTGCTGAAACCCGTGGCCTGGGGGGGTTAACCCCTGATGGACGTGACTCACTAACAGTGTCTGTAGTTTCATTTGAACGGAGAGAGCATCAGCCGCAGTACACACAGAGGCACATTTTCACGTCATGCAGTGAAATGAGTATTCGATCACCAAGCAAAACACCACTCGGTGCAACCAGTAGCCTTGTGGGCGAACATAGTGGTGAGATGTTTCCTGTAGCAGGTCATCAGCCCTGCTCACATCTCAGGAGAGCGTTCCTCTACATCCACCTCTGGCAC